GCGGTTCTTTTGTTGATCACCGAAGGATAGAATTATTCTATTTGTCTCATCCACAAAGTGGCACGTACTGAGCCTTCAATTTAGTCATGACGTTTTCTAGGGATGCAGAGAATGTAAAAGAGAGGAACCCCTGTTTTTACGAAAATGTAAGAATCGCGACGTTTGGAAATTTGCAGTGGTCTTTGTAATAAGGTTGTATGTGAAATTTCTGTTAGTCAGAAAAATGTTTCTGGACGTTGTTTGGTGTCTCTGAGTATTTACCTGATGCCAAAACGGTCAAATTCCCTTCTATACTGACGAGTTGGGTGTTTGTGTAATGCGTGATATCATTCGTCATTATACAGTAAGATTTTTTAATTTCAAATTGCTGCTTCTTTGATAGATGTACACGCTTATACTCACTTCAAAAGTAAATATGCCTCAGCAGCAGCCTGCTCATATTCTTTGATTTTCTCCTTCACTAATACCACCTTCGAAAACTTCCATGTGTGTCACAAGAACTTTGGATACAGTACATCCTGTCATCTTTAAAAGGAATTCCACTTAAAACTTGTTCAGACTCCGATCACCCCTAATCCATGCTCCGTTAATGCAATTCTACTGATAGGATGGTATATCAAAGCGCTGTTGCCATTTCTCCTTAGGTCACCACTTTGTATTTTTAGAGCATTCAATTTTCTTGCAATTATATTTATCTTCAGAGAGGTGCTTTACTTCTCCTTGTAAAGGGCTCGTGCATCCAAATCCATGACTTTACATTCTTGATTTATTCATCCATTTGTTTTGATGTCTTCATAAATCATTCTCCTCGTCCCCCCTCCCCCCCCCCCCCCCCCCCCCTTCTATTATGTCTGTCCTTCCCCATCTCCGGACATGTTCTGCCAAATTTCTAGCACAGGGACCTGCATTTTTTTTACATACATATTTTGACATAAATTATGGTGTTCACAGCCGTTTTAGGGGTTTAGATCAACTTTCGGTAAAAATGCCACTCTAATGATAATATACAAGTCATTGGGGCGGCATTTTTTCCAAAAGTTTATTAAAACCCATAAAACGTGTAAAATTACTCTAAACACCATAGTTTAGGTCCAAATATAGCTGTAACAAATTACCAGGTCCCTGTGATTTCTAGCCATTGACTGCTTGTCAATGTGGTACCAAATGTTTTGATCTTTGGTCTTTGGGTCCCTTCACGGTCAAGTTCAATCTTGCACTCGAAATTATTCTTGCATGGTTTACATTATATAAAAGTTTAAGAATAATTTACCTGTTGTAGTCAAAAGTTTAGATTTGCAATGTGATGATAGAAGGATGCATCGGCACCTTTCCCGTTTTGTTGTATTCTACAAATGTTTCGGTGCACATCAGACATGGTTTGTCATTTTCTTGACCTTTAGTACTGTAGCACTGTTAAGTCCTAAAAAGACAAATTGCTATATGATGAAATAAATGTTTACTTTGTTTGGCTGACGGGTTACACCTACACCTGGTAATTTGCGGTAGGACGGATTTACGTACATACGTGTACCTCTCTTCGAGCGCCAACAATATCACAATGTTATGATCTGGGCCTGCATGTATTCATGAAACTGTTCTCATGCTCAAGCATTGATTCTGTGCTCACACCAAATTTCTTAATTTGCTTAAATCCTGTGACATGGTCAAAGATCCAGATGAAGATATTGAAAACGATGATTGGCATGATGTCGATCTGAAATTCATCCAAACATTTGAATTTCTATCAATTATTATCACATGAACAAGAAATTGGGCTTGGGCTCAGAACCTTATTTTGAGCATGAGAACAGATAAATGTTCCACTGTTGTATTTTTTCCACCTGTCGAAGCTTGTATTCCTGATTTTTTGGTCACTGGGTTCCCTTAAAGTCGTCATCAATCTTGCATTAGCCATGTTGAAATAATCGACCAATATCAGAATTAGAACTGAGGTTTGGCTAGCCCGAGTTTCCTCTGGCCCTGACACCAGACTCAAGACATTTCGACAGATAGATGTCTGGTGTCTAGTAAACTCTGGCTAAGGATTGGCTGTATCCGAGACCAGATACACTTTCTGGTAACATCTAGCCAGCTGTGAAGGCGTTCACTTACCATGGTATCTCTTTCTGAGACCCTCGACCATTTTGGGGTCACTTCATAAACAAGGGATCCGAGAGGGATCTTGACACCCACCCATTGTAAGATCTTCATTGATCCAAGGTAGTTAGAATATTTTCTCTTGTCCGTTGGATTGAGTTATGGCAGCAGTAAATATCATGTAAATTGTGATATAAACTGTGTTACTACTGCATTTGATAATCATGTTGTCCTTTGACCTATTGAGAAGAAAAGTTAAGTGAAAAAATAGAACAAGACAAAATGAAATATGAAAAACTAGAGAACAGATTTTTTTCTTGAAAATTGGGATAACAAACTCAACTATCAAATTACAAAATGGAAAACCTACCAGCCATCTTGTTCTTGTTATCATTTCCAAACTTGAACCTCCAAAACTAAGCACAATGGGAAACAGATTGTTTTATTTGAGACAGCTCTATAGCTCTTCCTGAGAAGTAATGATAACAGTTTTTGACATATTTCAAGCTTTCGATCAGTCCCAATATTGAAGACACAATTACGCACCGAGATGAACCTACTCATAAAATTTGAGAAAAAACTCACAATGACGTTGAGAACTACAAATGACAACCACTTTAACTGTAAAAAAATCCATCTTGTTCGTCAATCAGTGTCAAAATTATACATAAACAATTAAGGCCTAATTATAATGGGAACCTAAATATGAAATTGAGATAGATCCTTCTTGTACTTAATATATTGACAACATAATTGATGGACAATGGATAGACCACTGACGGAAGATGGTTTGAACAGCCATATCTGACGATGGTGGGCTACAAACATGTTTGGTTCACCTACATGAACATACACTGCAACAACACAAAAGTAAATATACTCTTTATTATCAATTCTTACGTCACATCCTTAGAGCCTATATCACTGGTGTTTATCATAGATTTTGTTTTATTATCTTTTATTTTGAAAATATGACAAAAGTGGGATTTTAAATCTGTTACTATTACTTAAATCCCAAAATAAAATCAGACAAATTTTATTCAAAACAAATAATACAAGCTCTTAAGACTTGAATGGCTTAAAAAAAATTATAAATAAATAAAGTCTTGTCAACATTTTGATGTTTATTAAACATCTACATGTACTATACATTCTATTTTGATGGCACAATGTTCCAAGTACTTACATATTACTACCCGGTAAAACTGAAATGTAAAGAACAGATTTCTATTCCTCTAAATAGGTGTTATCATAGCTTTATCAACTCCATGAACACCATTTGTGTGCATTTAAGAACATCACAGAAAGCAGAAAGGATCTTGACACCCTATTGTCTACATTCTTAATACAAAAATTAAATCAATCAATATAAGATAGGATAAGTTCCAATCCCAGTTATCAATATTTGAAGATCCTTCAAGTATTTCCTGAGAAATAGCGTTTCAAACTTTAACTCTCAAAATTCAAAATGGCCACCTGTCAGCCATCTTGGTTTTCCAATCAGACCAAAATTTCATGTGCGTAATAAGGGACCATGGGGAACCTTTCTGTGAAATTTGAAAAAGATCCCTTTAGTTCTTTCTGAGAAAGAGCGCTGACAAGAACTGTTTACAGACAGAATGACGGATGGACCACAGACGAAGGACGAAGGGTGATTTGAATAGCCCACCATCATGGGCTAAAAATCTTATTTGATACAAATGTCCAACATATTAATATGTGATATATATCTATATACATGTATAATTGTATATGTAGCAATCATACTTAAAAACAAGCAAATTCCTGGAATTTATATTCCCCGCTTGCAGGACATATTGTAGGTTAACATGACTGTGGTTAGGTTTAATCATGTGAGTATCGTGCTGTCGAGACATAATGTATAGCTTGAAACTTGAAGAAAAAAAAGCCCTATACCTCATTGATTATCCGTAAATATGCACAAATCACATCGGTTGGCAAACTTAGCACGAGTTGAATGTGCATAAGGAATTTGGTTGAAACATCTTAACAATATCTACAGCAATAAGTACTAATTGTAATGGGGGACCATTACAGATGTCCCCCAAACTGCCCCCATAGTCGCAAAGATATATCAGAAAAGGATCGCATTGCCATAGTATAACTACAATGTACATACTAGATTTGAGTGAAATTGAATTTCTAAATTGCAACCAATCAGAATCATCTGTGTATTTGCTATGGCAATGGAACGTATGCGATTGAATTTGCAGTCCCCTAACACCCCTATATACCAATTTTCATAAAAATAACAAAATATCTAAATTTCGACAAATCAGAAGCCTTTGTGTGGTTGCTATGGCAATGAAACCTATGCGGTTTTATCCGCAGTCCCCTAATATCCCAATATACAAATTTTCATCAAAATCTAACAACATCTAAATTTTGACCAATCAGAAGCGTCCATGTGGAAGCTATGGGAACGAAACCTATGCGGTTGAATTCGCAGTTACCTAATATCCCTATATACCAATTTTCATCAAAATCGAACCAAGTTTGAAGAAAATCGGTTAACATTTGTTAGTTATTGCAAAGAAACAAAACCCAGCAGATAATTATGTTTTTTGTTATTCAAGGGGCCATAACTACAACAAATGGGGTTCGCTGAAAGTGGTCATCGACCTTGGCCGAGCCCTTAAGCCATTGAACCCTGGGACAAAGTTTGAAGAAAATCGTTTAGCATTTGTTGTAGTTATTGCACAGAAACGAAGCACAGCAGATAATGACGTTTTTCATTATTCAAGGGGCGATAGCTCCGCCAAATGGGGTCCGCTGAAAATGGTCATCAAACTTGGCCGAGCCCTTAAGGCATTTAACCCTGTGACCAAGTTTAAAGAAAATCAGTTATATTTGTTGTAGTTATTGCACCGAAACGAAGCGTGACAGACAGACGGACAGACCCATATTAATATCCCCCGTTTTGGTAAAAGCAGGGGATAATAAGTTGTTGTTTTACTGAATAAAAAGCACCAAAAACTTCATTTCAAATTATTTGAAATACAGATCAATATAAATCAAACATACATTTCATTGCTAACAAAGACCTTCGTTAAGGATGTATAAAAATATATTTACTAAAGTATACAGGCTAAAGTTTCATATTGGAAATATTCTCTTGCATCAGGCTAGATTCACTTGTAGCTATTACCCTTATGATGATGCCTGCTGAGCATGTATACTCAAAACACGCGTTTTCATGTAAAGTTGGGAAGCTTTGGACGGTATCAAAAAGAGGATTAAAGAGATAAAGGGTAGAACAATGAAACAGGATTGATAGGAAGTATAGCTCACATTATGATATTCTTGATTCAAATCATATAATAATTTCAAATATCAAATGTGTAGTAAAATGATAATTTTACCCTCCAAAAGTTCATTTGGTACTAGAGAATATGTTTTGTTAAGTCATTTGATCATGATGCCACAATTACAATGAATTAAGCCGTCTGTTGTGACATCAAAATCAAATGGTTTTTTTTGTGAAACTGAATGTTTTCTTGACAAAATGTTTATACATGTATGTTTACAATAAAAAAAAACAACACCAAGAGACAACAGGCTATCTGTATCATACAACTCCGAGACACACATGTAGCGCCTTCTTTTGTCATGCTGTCGCTGTACCGACAATGAGGGGAGGTAACTCCTACAGATTATTTTCCTTTCATACAATCATCAACAACACTATCACATACATAACAAGTACATGTTACAATTATTGGAAGAATTTCTTCAAAACACTTGTTCGTATAATATCATGTAGTACATTCACTGGATATCACATCACACAGGATAACAGTGTAAAATATCATATATATTTTGACTAAATACATGTAAAATTTCAACTTTCAAAAACGAGGCCTATAGACAAGATTGACAAGGTTAGCCTGGGTTTTATGCCTTATATATAAAATGGAAAATAACTAGATCTAGATCTCATGACAAATATGAAATGTAGTTCATGAACACATTATCACTCTAAATATTTTGATACTTTAGAAGAAGCTGTTTGAATTATTTAATTATTAGTTATATATTATATGTGCACGACACATGTAACATTCAAAATGAATCAAGGCACATTTTTGTAATTTGTTTGAACAAACCTATTAGCACTACAAACTAGAGGTTAACTTTTAACATCCTCAACATAAAGTGTTTTGTTTTAGGAATGTTGAACTCATCTGACCCCATGGCCCTGTGACCTTGAAAGTGGGTATTGACCCCTCAGTCTCGTAACCTTCATAGTGGGTCAAACTTCATAGTTTGAATAAAGTTGGAAGCATTCCCCTTTGAAAAACTCTGATGCAATTATCAATAATTTAGATCACATGGTTTTTTAAAACAACCTGTTTGAAACTTTTAAAGTGTGTCAAAGACATTGATTAAAACAAAGTTGATAGCACCTGTTTCCATTTGAAACATCATCACTCTAGATATCATGCTTGCCTATGTAAGCTAAGTGAACACAATGGAGACCTAACAGTCATCTATTCTGCCTTTACTCATCTATATAAACGTTAAATCACAGGCATACATAAAGGGTATACTATGTCCATCCCTAAGCCAGCAGAATACATCAAACAAATATTGACTGCACACTTGATGGAACAGCAAAATCCTAGGTAGAAAATGGATTTGTCCAACACCAAAACTGGTAAGGCTGTTACGTATACCTCCTGGTGACAGGACTGGCATAAAGCTGTTGGATCTAACAGCAGGGATTTCATTGTACATGGCAGGGAATCAAGTAAGGTATAATAGTCTTTGTGATCTGAAACAATGTAAACAGGACCTTAAAAGTTATATGGTATGAAGATTCTTATAGTACAAGCACAAAAATAACAGAGAAAAAAAATACTCCAAAATTTACACCAGTCCACTTTTCTAATTTACATTACATTAAAAGTCTAATCTAATGAACATCCACCTGGGAAATGTGATCAATGTCTTACCTTTTATCATAGAAATGTGATCTATGACTTACCTTTTACCATGGAAATGTGATCTATGACTTACCTTTGACCATAGAAATGTGATCTATGTCTTACCTTTTACCATAGAAATGTGATCTATGACTTACCTTTGACCATAGAAATGTGATCTATGACTTACCTTTTACCATAGAAATGTGATCTATGACTTATCTTTTACCACTGAAATGTGATCTATGTCTTACCTTTCACCATAGAAATGTGATCTATGACTTACCTTTTACCATAGAAATGTGATCTATGACTTACCTTTTACCATAGAAATGTGATATATGACTTACCTTTTACCATAGAAATGTGATATATATGACTTACCTTTTACCATATAAATGAGATATATGTCTTACCTTTGACCTTAGAGATGTGATATATGTCTTACCTTTTACCATAGAAATGTGATCTATGTCTTACCTTTTACCATAGAAATGTGATATATGACTTACGTTTTACCATATAAATGAGATAACCCTTACCTAAGAATCTTTTCCCCAATGCTCCACTTGATCTAAGCCCAAGTTCCAGTAAGGATGGTACACTATCCCATGGGGCATTGACTGATCTGATCTCCGGAGGCATCACTATGGGAACCAACATCTCCTTATATGGCACCACTAGCTCTACCATCCCAGGCAACACTCCAAGTGGGTCACTCCTTCGACAACTGAGGTGATAAAGTACAGAACTCATCTACAGCTACAAACAACTCATCGACAATGAACTCATTTTCAGCATCAAACACTAATTTACAGTAAAGGAAAACACTCTTTTACAGCAACCGAGAACCCATTTTTATAGCAACAGAGAACACTAATTTACAGCAACAAAGAACACTCATTTACAGAGTCGGAAAAATTCATTTACAGCAACAGAGAACACTCATTAAGCAACGAAGAACACTCATTTACAGGGACAGAGAAAACTTATTTACAGCAACAGCAAGCATTCATTTACAGTGACAAAGAACACTGATTTACAGCTACTGAGAACACACATTCACAGCTAAAGAAAACACTCATGAACAACTGAAGAGAATATTCATTTACAGCGACAGATCACACATTTACAGCGACAGATCACACATTTACAGCGACAGAGAATATCATTTACGTACAGCCAAAGGATAACCATTTACAGCAATAGAGCACTAATTTCAACTTTTTTTATGCTGATGAAACTGCTATTAAACACTTATTAGAACAAAATGAAGAAAAAGAAATGTGTTATTTGATGGTTTTGTTTCATCATATCCAACCTTACTTGTGTAATTATAAAAAACAAAACATACATTGTACGTGTAAGTCTATTAAACTTTTTGTTGTTAGTTTAATACAGAGTTTCATTACCTTAGTATCAAAATAATGGTTTTGAAAATCGGATGTAAAGTTAAGTGTTGCAGTTATTTGTACACCTCTGGAATGATAGACGGTGCTTACAGTGTACAATGACTGTATGTGCCATCTTAAAAGTAACATCTGAATTTGATTAACATACAGGGGTCTACTACTAAAGGCCAAGGTCAACAATTCATATCCTTATTAAAATTCACCTGCCATATGTCAAGTTAAAGAAGTTGTATCCTAAATAAATTGTTTGATAAATGTGTGCATGTACATGCTTTTTCAAGGCAAGCAAAAATTGTCAAAATTTTAATACATGTATTCTGTTAATTTAATATAAGAAATTATATCTATTTGAATACCATTATGCAAGTCCTTTATTTAAATGTGTCATATGATAACATTTTCGAAGTTAAAGGTCCAGAAATGTCAATCTCAGGAGACTTTCATTTCAATTTAATAAAGCATTAGTATACCTTTGAAAATTTCCGGTATCTATGTGTATCAATGATAGAGGTAGAACATGGAGTGCTGGGTTCTTGTCTACCAGTAGACATTGCAGACTGCTGTGTTCTGTGTTAGCAAAGGCTGGAATTAAACAATACGGTTGGTTCTAAGTTTAATTAAAACAGTAGGTTGTTCAATAATCAAACACATTTTTTAAACATATAAAGACAATTCTAGCTTTAGAGGAAATCAATTTTCTATTTACAGTTACAATGATCTTGATCTTTGACTTTCAGATGTGAAAATCAATCCCTAGCAAGCACTTTAGATAAGAAAGTAGAGCATGATGAGTGAGTCTGACAAACCAATGGTAACTCAAGCTATTGCAGAGAAACCATTTCTTTTATTTGTAATACAAGTGACCTTGACCTTTGACATTTGGACTTAAACAACACTTTGATTCCAAGAAAATGTTCAATGTAAGGAAGAAGTGTGTGAAGTTTAAATTGATTTGCCCATGAAAGCTTGTCTCATTGTGCAGAAACATTTGTTCTACTTGCACTATGTAGTAGCAGTGACCATAATCTTTGATGTTCGAACCTGAATAGCAATCCAATGCAAGCACTTTTGATAAGAAAGCAGTGCAGGAAGTGTGAGTTCGATCAAAACAATTTTATGTTTGTTGTAAGTAAAGTTACTTGACCTTTGACCTTCGACCGTTCAGTATTTTCAGTGAGGAAGCACTATATGATGTTTGCATTGAGCTCACAGGAATTCTAAATTTATTGTGTGGAAATTATTTCATATAATTGTTTGCAAACATTTTGGTTAATTTAATCTAAAAAATTGGGTAAACTTGACTCATTACGAGAACAGCCGATACAGTAATATTAGTTTTCTCTGGGTTTAAGTATAAAATATTATGCAGCTAGAAAAGATCACTTAGTACAGCAATCATTTCCCTCATTGATTTAAATTCTTTTCTACATTTCAAAGAGACCATAGGGAATTACTTTGTGGTAAAGTGATCAAGTTGTTTCCACAGACGGAGAGTTCAGACAAGCTGGTCAATCGCTGGAAGTGACGAGGAAGACCGGTCAGTCGGTTGTAATCCAAGAGTAATGTTGTCAAATTCTCACAGTCACTCAAGCTGACAGGCAGCACGGACAGGTTATTTCTCATCAGTTCAAGTGTCTTCAGGCGTCTAAGATTCCCAATACCTATTCACAGCAAGACCATATATACATGAAGTATTGCTACTTCATACACTATTTAATTTCTGACAAAAAGTATTACCCTTATGTAGTATTAAATCTAAAAGCGAATTATGTACCTACAGTGACATTCCTGTCCCTGAATTTCAGAGTTATTCCAAATGGAATCTAAGGTCCCCCCCCCCCCCCCTAATTTACAAAAGAAAGAAAAAAAGATTTATCATTTATCAGAAGCACCAAAAATTAAAATAAATATTCATCAAGAATTATATCAATATCAATCAATCATATCAATTTTATTTATTTTACAACATACAACAATTATGAAACAAGCTATTACAACTCAAATTAAGAATTCAGCAAGAATTCCTTTACTTGATTCTGTTAACCAGTTTTCCAAATGTCCCAGTAAACATTTATAATGTTCCCCTGAATGACTTACTAGGTGGAAGACTTGTCAGTTTATTTACTGACACTTGCAGTTTCTGCAGGTTTTCCAGATTGCCAATGTCTGCTGGTAGTTGGGTCAGCTCATTATCACACAGATTTAGGGACTCCAACTTTCTCAGGTCACATATTCCTGTAACATCACTTATCCATTAAGAACAAGATCGAAAAAAAGAAACAATATTTAAAAAGAAAAACAAATGTATTCATTATGCACAAACCTTAATCTTTAATTATGATTCATTAATATTCTTAGTTCTAACACACACTCTAGGCCTAATATATTAACTTTTTTTTTTTTTTAAATTACTACAAGTCTTCTCTGTTGGACTATTGAACATACTTGTACTCAACATAACATCCACCAAAACAGCAAATGGAAGGACATATTCATTGCAAAGCAATACATCACCCTAACAGTGACATACTTTTTGGTCACGACACATCCTTCTGTACAGCATTATGAACTATAGCTCAGCCTTTCAAACGACATTGCCTGGACAAGTATTAACATGACATGACCTTTGACACCCTTGTTGTGACCATAGGTTGAGGGCATGGACCTTAGTGTGCATGTTTATTAAACAAGCATTAAAATGACATGACCTTTGACCCCCTTGTTGTGATCATAGGTTGAGGACATGGACCTTAGTGTGCATGTTTATTAAACAGTATAGTTATAATTGGTACCCATCCTTGACATTTTATTAAAATACATTCAGTTGTTCAGGAGTAAAGATCAGAAAACATGGACCTCCTGCAATGAGTTCTATGAAACTTGGAGGCAATTCTTTTTCTGTCAATCATTAGAATGATTTAAATATGTACCCAACTTGTAACTATACCTTAGGTACAGATCTGATTCTTTAAATCACTATATATTCATGTGTTATTTGTACTCCTATAACATGAGGCCGCTGGTTGGCCTTTTTTCTATTGGATATGATTTTGCCGACTGTGACGCGGCGCCTGTCAAAAGTTTTTCCCTGTGTAAAACCTCTAACATTGTTGGAGTAGTGTTATTTGGTGAGCTCTGCATGTATGTTTTATTGCTTAACAATGCTAAAAAAATTAGCATAATACATCTATCCATAATATTCATTCAACAAATACTCAGCCATTCAGAAAAAAACTCCTAGACAAAACATTGATAAGTGATAAATTTACCCAATCATTTAAAGCCTATGATTCAAATATTCTCATGAACTGAAAACTTTATTAATTGAGGGAGGAATGTAGCGGACCTAGACTGGGTCAATCGTCGGTGACCTGGTAGCTCATGATCAATTGGTAGACCATCTGTCTAGAGTTCGGAGGGTCCCAGGTTCGAACCCCAGTCTGGCTATGTATTTTCCCCTCCTATTAAACAAGTATAACTTACACTTACCTTCTGGTATGGCTTTGATATTGTTACTCGGCAAATATCTACAATTTAAAAGCATCTAATTAGGCTTACTTAGACATATCTTATTTTATATTAGAACATGCCCTATCCTAGAATTTCATAAATTTGGAATGAAATGGAAGTTCTTCTTAAATGTCAAACTGAATAATTACGATGATTTGATCAGAATACTTAAATTTACATATGATTGTATAAAAAGGAAAAGTACTGCAAGCAATCTATAGTTCCCCTACCCCACAATATTTAGCATGTATTTAGTGAACAAGAAATTCCAAGGAAGTGGATGTGTCGCCTGCGCAGGAAGCTGGGAGATTACAAAGAGGTAGATACACTTTTCATTTCAAGAAATAATGTTAAAAGTAAGCATTAATCATAGATTATGTTTTTGGATGGCATCATTTTGTTACATAATCTGTTGTTCTGGGAAGAATACTCTGAGTTTTAAGGAACTTGCTATGGATACTCATTGTCTCAACCTTGACCTTTGACCTTCGGACCTGAAAAGCAATCCCAAGCAAGCACTTTTGGTAAGGAAGCACTGCATGAAGTTTGAGTTTGATCGGCCAAAGGAAACTCAAGTTATCGCACGAAAACAGATTTTCTATTTATAGTAACAGTGACCTTGACCTTTGACCTTTGAACCTGAAAAGCAATCCCAAGCAAGCACTTTTGTTAAGGAAGCACTGCATGAAGTTTGAGTTTGATCGGCCAAAGGAAACTTAAGTTATTACACGAAAACAGATTTTCTATTTCTAGTAACAGTGACCTTGACCTTTGACCTTTGAACCTGAAAGGAATCCCAAGCAAGAACTTTTGGTAAGGAAGCAATGCATAAAGTTTGAGTTTGATAGGCCAAAGGAAACTCAAGTTATCGCATGAAAACCTCTGTGCGGACGCCGCCGCCGACAAAGCAATACCTATATATGTGTCACCAGCTTTTCCCAGGCGACATAAAATGGGACGCAATAAGAGGTACTCGCATAAATATAAAAGTCAAAAGTAGATGACAAAGAAAAAAGAGTACATTGTACAAAGGGCTATAATTCTGTAAAAAGTTGGACACTATAACAGATTTCAGAACCTGCCACAAAATCAACCATTCCAAGATGTGTTCACATGGAAAACTTGGCAGTTGTAGATGGCCGATTGTAGATCACCCCAGAGGTCTAGACTGACAGACCAAGTAAAAACCCTATATGCATATGTAGTTCCCTCCAACACACAAGGATGAAATTTGATGTCCAGTTGATACTACTGCATGGAAAAAGTGACAATGGGAACTGATAAATATACCAAAACTAAAAGAAAAACACCATGAACATGCAAGCGCCCCCCCCCCCCCCTTAAGAAAAATGGAAAATGGGTGTGAAAACACATTAATATCTGTCAGCATGTGTATCCATGCATATTTAACATCATCAATGTAATCAATGTATTCTATTATATAAATATGTTGCTAAGCATGAAGAAATTCAGCTTTACTTACAACTCAACTAAACTCAAAAGTCGATTCAAGTTTTCTGGCTGAAAATGAAAGATTGACATATTTATAATATAAAAGCCTACATGTTAATAACGAAAGTTTTACCTGATTGGGAGTGTATTTAATCCCAAATATAGAAACCAGCATTCCTTTAGTATGATATCCAAGACACAATCAAATATTCATAATATCATGATTGAACAAACATCATTTATAAATTTGTACAGGACTTATAATAACGTATTTCCTACAATAGAGGGTGCTCGACCTACATTATAACCTGTTCTTAATAATTGTGTTGGTTTTTTTGGGGTTTTTTTATGGAATTAGTGTATCGAGCAATATATTACAACTGTAATTTAATTATGACACTGATTAAAACACACACAATTTGCAAACATATACATATATATTAATGCATTTTATTGAAAATAGATTCCAATTTTTTTCACATCACCTTCTAATTTACCTAAAGGGATCGAGTCACTCATATCTTGACATTTTATAAGCTTAGGTTTGATGTTCTATGTTGTTGTTATTGTTAATGTACTGTAATTTTACTCTTCTTCAACATTATACAATACACTAGTACTGTAGCATGTGTGTATTCATCCAGAAACCTTTAGTTCCATGAACTGGGTTGGACAAAGTCATGTTACCTTTAAGCTCATTGCAAGGGGTCTCACCAACTTTATTTATGTATACAGCAGTAAGATCCCCTTGCCAGAGTGATATTATAGTCAAATAATGCAAATCCATGCTGTCATTTAGAAGTATGCTTTTGAAGATTATATTTTTCAATTTTGCCTTTGTTTAGTCTCCTTCATTCTCCTTACCCCAAAGGAGTTTCCACTTTTATATATACAAATTATTCTCTCGTCTTAATTACTGTTAATACTGATTTTAAAAATGCCAATTTTTTTCTAATAAACCCTTCAGGAGAAGTCTTGTGTAGGCCGAAACCAAACATTTTCCCTCTATTTGGCCCTGCTTTTCAACCCCAAAGGTGACCATCTGTATATGTCTTTTTTTTTATAGATGTAACATTTTGATTCCTGGTCCCAAGCTTTAAAGCATGTATTGTTAAAAGGTTACTTAAAATCAGGTTGAGTTTTGAATGATATTTTTATGGGAAAAAAAGAACTTGTAGAAATTAACCAAGGAAGAAGATTGTACCTGAAGTCGACAGAATAAACACTGTTTATAATCATTAACACTGTTTATAATCATTAACACTGTTTATAATTACAACATATAAAATAATACCAAACATGTCAGCAGGTTCCTTTTCGCATAAATTGTTTTGAGATTTCTGTAGCAGATGTCTGACAATAGACAAGGTGGTAGATTTTTCAGTCCTTTATAGTTAAGGTGAAGAATGGTGTCACCCTTCTTAGCATTTTCCATTTCATCTTTGACATTGGAAAAGTCGCCTTCCTCCATTATTTAAATATCCATGCTGTAGGCCTACTAGTCTGAAGTAAAAAGAAATAATTTCAAAAAATCACACACAAAAAGCATAGCCACAAAATGTATAAGTATCGATCATTTATTATAGCCCAAGCAGTGAATTTAGTGAAACAGTATAATTTTATCATATACTTTATTGTTATGCAATGTAATCAAAAGTGTTAACCATCCCCCTTGCCCAGACCCCTCCATTCATCTCTCACGGGTGTGCGTGGGATGGCACCTTTGTTGATTTTCTCTCTCTAACCACCCTTTGTAAAAAAAATCGTTTGTAAATAACCTCCGTGTACACTACATTACAAATTAACTGCCAAGTTTAATTTTTTATTAAAAATCGATGACGCGAAAGTACAAGGTGACATGGATCTCACAGATACAGTGTAATCAGACTACATGCTCACATTTTTGTTTTGAAAATATATTTTTTTCGGTAAAAAGCAAAATATTCTCATTGACAACTTACTTTTTCTGAAGCAGTATAACTATGTAATTAAAATGTATGAAGATAATGGTGAAATACATGTAACATGTTGGTATATCCCCAAAAAACACTTTCTGCACTGTTTTGTCATCCTGTAAATTCGGCATGAGAATGAGAAATACGTCAAGGAAAAAAGTGCACATTTTTGAAACGTCATCGATTTATGTGTAGTCGTGACGTCAACTACGAGAGAACGAAATGGCGTGAAACATTCGGGCAAACATTTCTACTTTCAGTTCAAAATTTAACGTGTTTTGAGCAGTATTTCTTACACTGCCATTTTCAGTTCTCCTTAATTTTATATAGTTCCAAGGAAACGGCCATGACATGATGAGTGTTGACGCGTATGCCCCGAATTCCCAAACACTCACGTTCCTGGACACCGAGGAAGATCTTCTCGGAGCGGACACACAAGGCACAGACTTCGACTTTACAGACTTTACGTTGCCATCACAAACTCAGTCGCAGACACAAGCCTCCCAGCTAGAACCAGGACAGAGTCAAAGTCAGGTATACAAAAATAAATTACCTGATTATTTGATGATTGACGTGGTCCCCCTTTTCGGCCATGTGTGATATGGAACATGTGGCCACATGATAAACTGCCATCTTGAGGTATTTGTTCCAAGTGGTTGATCGCGATCTTATCTTTGAAATGACAATGCAGACGGCATATCATTGTAGGCCTAACACATGTCTACTTATATTGTTTTTTTTTATTATGACTTACAAGTCGTGTCGTGCCATTATCGGTTACTACGACGTATACAATGACCATGTTTTCCAAACTTTGGAAGTCAAAGTTATAGCAGTGTCAGCAGAAGTTTAAAATACAATAGATTGATTTTGGTTATTTTAGTCATGCAGTTTGCCCTGTTTCACAATATTACACAATTGTATTTATATGAATACAAAATATTTTTTAGGGGTTGGAAAGGGGGGATTTGTAGTGAATAGATAAAATTTCAAAGTAAAGGAGAGAGAATTACAAGAGCGATAAATCAATGAATTACATTAAAGCTGTTAATATCTGACCTAAAGGTTAATTTTAAAGAAATACTGTTTTATATATTTATTATTTACGAAAAGAATGTAGGTTAATTAACACCATTCCACCAGACTGTTTCATTTCTCATATGAATGACATAATTACCATTAATCATATAGAACACATCTAATTTAGCAGTCCGACAAAAGTCAAAAATAGTGTCAGTTGGCAAAGGAGGAGTGCCACTCAGTGCTGTGTCACGCAAGGACAATACGATAGGTATCTCAATTTTTGTATCAACTTTCTGTGCAAAGCATGGCCAGTTACCATAGTTTTCATTGGTTTGAAACAAACCACCTGATATGAAACAAATCTAAAGTGTTAATTTGTATTCCATGCTGAATAAGTTTGTTTTTAAGTAATATATCTCTTAAAATGTATAGCACTTTTATTTTTGAAATCGTGGCATTCACCGATAGCATCTTAATACCTTAAACGAATTATGTAGCAGTTACTGCCCTTTAAGAGTGATTAAAATAATTAACCAATCACACAACGGCTTATGAAACATGGCTGACACTGCAGGAAAGTTTTGGTCTCGCCACCGGCAGCTTTTAAGGACCTCTAGATCTAAAAATCTATCTACAACAGCATCACAGCGGTACAACAGCTGGTTGGTTTGGTTTAGTATTGTTTAATGTCCTATCAACAGCTATAGTCATTTAAGGACGGCCTTCCCTGTGTGCAAGATGCATGTGTGTAGTTTAGGAGTGTGTGTTTTGGGAGGCTGCGATATGTTCGTGTCTCCTTGAAGCTGTAAGAATCAACCAACTGAAAAACCCTCATTTTGGGAACACCAATTAAGTTGATAAAAAGTTGACTCTAAAAAAGTGGATGTCTAATATTCCTGAATAAGAATGTTGTTCCTAAACTTTTCCTGAGTATTCTCTCTTGATGTACTGCTAGATGTGAACCAAAATGAAAGAATATTGAGATATACAATTTGACAAACTGCTTTGAAAATAACTATAAATAAATAATTAAATTCGTTTCAGCATGGATTTCCTTTTCTGTCCTCTGAAAAAAACAATTATTTCAAAAATAAAAAGTACGATACAACTTAATTTATATAAACAACAAATTAATTCAGAATCGAATACAAACACTTTGAATTTGTGTCGTATCAAGGTTTGTTTCAAATATAGGAAAACTGGTAAGAGGTTTGTACAGAAAGTTCTGACAAGTATGACATAACGTATCATATCGTAACCCATGAATCATCATCACAACCCTTGCGATACACAGTACTAGTTAATAACCACTCTAAAACGCACAATACTATCGGAGAAAGCTACGATACATCAGCATTCAAGATATGATACGATTCACCGCTGCATCAGTGAATTGTTCAACCTGTAAGTGCCACAGAAGGTGTCAGTCAGTGAGAGTGTGTTGGTTAGGAAAGATCCAGTGCTCTTTATAGTGTCCATTTCAGTTTCCATTTGGTTGCTTTTTGAGAAGTGTGAAGAAAAAGACATCGACATTTGATGATTTTGGTTGTTTCGTATTTTTGTCCAAGTGCCCAAGAACAGGATGGGATTTTATCTTTGCATTAACATTTGTAAATATACTGTTTTATAAATAAGAAAGCTAATGTCCCCAATTATCATCATGTCGTAAAAACAAAAGAATCATCTACTTTGCTTCTCCCAATTTAACCAAATGTTTGTCTACGTGTATACAGTCCCATGATGTTTTAAAGTGTCCCTGTTTTTATTACAAAAAATAATACACAGTTCTGTTTCGACAATATTTATTTTCATTAGCAATGTATTCGTATAAATAATTCTATGCATTAAATAAAATTGGAAACATTGTAAAGCGTTAAAGGTTCACACTCCTCTGTTGCTCGATGAAAAGTCATATGGCTGACGGGAAACAATACAACTATAACATTTTCATTTCATAAAAGTATGATTTTGGTTAAATTAATCACCAACGAAGCAGTCCCTAGGAACGAGCATACGTTTGTATTGCGTAATTATATGATATATCAATGGATAGGTACCTTTGTTAGTGTAAAAAGCAGTTGAAGAAAATTCCCAGAACACACCTGTACAGAGCCCACATTGACAGTTTCTGCCACCCAGACATTTGCAATGACATGATAGCCCTCTCAAAATTCTAACAGCTGGGTAGACATTAAACTTGAAAATGACGGTATGAGTATACGTATTCATTTCTCAAGGTTCTGACATAAGATCTACAGAGAATTGTCTGTGACACTTTCTCCAGTTTCTGCCATTAGATGATACAGACGTTAATTAAACCCAAAGGCTGTAAGAGAAAATCAAAAATATTAGTGAGAGTTATTTTATGTATAAAAACATTTCTTTAATCATTGACAGTTGATTTGCAATTGGAGTTTTGTAAATATATTGAAAACATTTGTGTATCTGCAGCAACCCAATGGTGTTGAAATACCACTACAAAATGGACTGGATAAAGGCATTGGAGTCATCACGCAGGGAGTGGGTGAGCTCAACTTCGAGGAGGAGGAAGAGGAACAGTTTTATATGAAAGATCTCCCCAAACATGCTTGCTCGTAAGTGACTTGGCATCAATCTCCTTTTCTAATTATTTTTTAAAGAAGAATGTAGATATACTTATTTGAGTTTACAATGATCAATTTGTTATTCATGTGAATGCCATAATTGTGATTCTTTTGGCTCAGTTGTCAACTTGACTATTACCATAGCTTGTTTCTAGTTGCAATCTTAGAACTGCTTAGAAATTATAGTTTGGTTACATTAAATGAAACTGGTTCATTTATTTCATAACAATATGAAATAAGTTTGAATCATATAAAATTATCACTTATGTCGGCTCAAGTGAAAGCATAGTGGCTCTTGATATGATTTTGATTCAACAAAAACAAATCCTGTGTGGCCATTATGGGTCCTTAAGGATACTTTATGACATAGTGTTTGTATTATATTGTAAAGTATTGTATGTTACACATAATGATGAAGGATCATCATGTCTGGTTTACTATCTACAGGTACTGTGGAATACACGACCCGGCGTGTGTGGTGTTGTGCAACTCAACAAAGAAGTGGTTCTGTAATGGTCGTGGCAACACTTCAGGCAGGTCAGTGACAATTGTTATCACACTATATGGTGACTTTAGTTCCTGTTGCCACCACATGCTCATTGTCAGCTGTCAAATAACTGACTAATGCAACTTCACCTAGGTATAATGTCCAATGAAAGGTTAATGAACCCATAAAACATACAATATTCACCAGCAAAGCATTGTGAAAACACCTCATTGTTAAGTAATGGGAATAATCAGTGTTGCATTCTTCAGCGAACTATAAAAAGAAAAGATTAATGCTATGTTGTGAATGATAGGTATTTGATTTTGATTCACCAAACTAAGATCATATCTTGGTTTCATTTGTCAGCCACATCATCAATCACTTAGTGAGAGCCAAGGCAAAGGAGGTGACACTGCACAAGGATGGACCCCTCGGGGAGACTGTCCTCGAGTGCTACAACTGTGGCTGTCGTAACGTCTTCCTGCTCGGCTTCATTCCAGCCAAGGCTGACTCTGTGGTGGTACTGCTGTGTAGACAGCCCTGTGCCACACTCACCAACCTCAAGGACATGAACTGGTAGGTATCACTAACATGCTTCAGGTGTAAATATAATACAGTCTGTATAACAATATATCCAGTCAAATGACTTGCATGGGTTCTCCTGGGTATATATTTTATGCAAACAGTAAAATCATGCCCACAAACTGAAATAAATGGAATACAAAGTTGTAAGGGACACTTGTTCAGTTATAGGTTCACTGACATCTTTAAAGAGTGTCTTCAGTGAATGAGTCTGCTACAAACACATGTGGTATGTAAAATTCCTTATTGAAGGAATTACTTAAAAAACATAGCAGAAGTACTTAAAAAGCAATCATTTCAGATGCTATAATAAAATTACATGTAGTACAATAACATTTGTATTTCAGGGACCCCAGCCAGTGGCAGCCCCTGATCCAGGATCGACAATTCCTAGCCTGGTTGGTGAAGGTGCCTTCTGACCAGGAGCAGATGAGGGGACGACAGATCTCTGCCCAGCAGATCAACAAACTGGAGGAGTTGTGGAAGGACAACCCTGATGCCACACTGGAGGACTTAGAGAAGCCTGGAGTGGATGAGGAGCCCCAGCAGGTCCTCCTCAGGTACATGTTCACAAATATATCTACTCTGCAATACCATAACATTTCCCTCCTGGAAAAATAATTTCATGACTCTAAGAACTTCATTTCTAAAAAATGTTATGAAAATGATGCAGTTCAGTTCATATTTAAGGCCCCCAAGGTCAACAGCAAGGTCACTTGCTATTTATAGGTCAACCACTGATGTTTTTTCTTGTTCAGAATTCAGATTGAAGAGTCGCATTGACGAAATTCACTCTGACCACTTCATACTACTATAATGACACCTAATTGCTTATGCTTGTTGGATGCAGGTATGATGATGCTTACCAGTACCAGAACATCTTTGGTCCCCTGGTCAAGCTGGAGGCTGACTACGATAAGAAGCTAAAGGAGTCCCAGACCCAGGATAACATTGTGGTGCGATGGGATGTTGGCCTGAACAAAAAGCGTATCACCTACTTCCACCTTCCCAAGGCCAATGAAGGTTTGTTATCAGTGATGTATTATAAAATTCTTTTTGTTGATATTATGTCCACTTGAATTTAAAAACAAAACTAACTGACAGAAGTAACTGTGTTTGACATCTGTATCTGTTTATTAATCAATTAACAATTTCACAAATATTCTTGAAATTTCTTGGTGTTTTGCCACCCAAAAAAGTTAAATATTATAATTCAGTAAAGATTTTATTGAATAATTATGGTATTATATTTGAAAATATTTATAACAATATTGGAGCACAAGCATATAATGTCATTAATATTGGTCTTACAAATGTTTACAGGATTAGAAAAAAATATCTATTTAAGTTACTTGCCTCAAACAGGGTATATTAGCATCAGTTCATTGATACTTTTCAGAAATGAAGCTGATGCATGGGGATGAGTTGCGGATTCGCTACATGGGAGAACTTCACAAGCCCTGGTCTGGTGTAGGGCATGTCATCAAGATACCAGACAGTATCCTTTACCTTGACACCCACATAATACAACAGCAGAGGACTTTATCTACATGTCTCATTAACACTAATGTAAAAATAAGTGATCAATTTCAATATTTTTAAGGTGTTGATTTACGAAATCTGCCCTTAAAAGTAACTTATTGGATAAATGAATTCATTTTGAAACAAAACCAGACTTGTTAATGTAGTTTGTGACAGCAATTTGAAAAACACAAAAAATAGCACTTCTTGTATATTACAGATATATGTATGCCATTCCATTTATACATGTAACAACTCGAGTTTTAGGATACCGGTTTTTGAATTAACTTTGTTTGCTCTGGGAGGTAAAATAAAGTTCTTTCATTTTAGTACATCGTATTTTCTGGAACAGCCCTTTGACCAGCTTGTTTCATAATTGGCGAGTTTTCTGATTGAATATATTGCAATTCTTTACCAGTGATCAATTAATGTGGGTTGAATTTTTTTTTCACCTTTAATGATGGCTTGCAGAATGTAGTTTAATAACAGGTACTTGTGCATGTCATTTCCTTAACGGTGCTCAGACCACAGCGACGAGGTGGCCATAGAGTTGAAGAGTAACGCTGGTGTCCCCACTGACTGTACACACAACTTTGTTGTGGACTTTGTCTGGAAATCAACATCCTTTGATAGGTACACTACATTGTTCAAAGCTATGTTTAAACTTGTTGACAGTTGAGGATAATGTACAGAAAATTTCCGGGTGGTAATTCTATCACTTTTTGCATTGATCCTCATGCACTATAATCAGTAGCAGTCTTGAGCTAATTTAGGTTACAACTCAACTGAAAAAAAAAAATGTAAAATACAATGGTTGCTTTGAAATGGAAAACAAGTCCTCTTTCAATACATACTAGCTACGTTTCTGTTGAATTAGCCAACATTATTCCTTAAAAGTAATTATATTAATCAGTAATTATGAATGTTTTGCACTTTACCTTCATTGGGAGATTTTGTTTTGACATTTACATTTATACATGTGACTGTCAACAGAATGCAGGCAGCTCTGAAGACATTTGCAGTAGATGAGACATCGGTGTGGGGCTACATATACCACAAACTGCTGGGACACGAGGTGGAGGATGTTGTCATCAAATGTCAGCTTCCCAAGCGCTTTAGTGCCCTCAGCCTGCCGGAGCTTAACCACTCCCAGGTGTACGCTGTCAAGACTGTCCTACAACGACCCCTCAGTCTTATCCAGGTGAAAGTCAAGACTTTGCTCCTGTCTTTAAAACCAAACATTTTTTGTGGGGGTAAAAATAGAATAATCTTTTTCGTTCTTTCGAGCATTTCGAAATAAAGGCAGCAAATGATAAAGGGGGAAATAACTCCCACAACACTACCACAATCATCATTGATGAAATTAAAAAATTTCAAGAAGCGGCAAAATTGTTGGATTTGTAATTCATCATAATACTTTTAAATAATCCCTAATGTATTGTTCCTTTTGTCTGCAGGGTCCTCCAGGAACTGGCAAGACTGTAACCTCGGCAACTGTGGTGTACCACCTGGCCAAACAGAACAGTGGCCAGGTACTGGTGTGTGCCCCATCCAACATTGCTGTTGACCAGCTCACTGAGAAGATCCATAGGACTGGACTTAAGGTCGGTACTTACTACATACTCCTCAGAAAAGTCGTTCAGCTCATCTCCAACATTTCACTGTATTATGGGTGCAACATGATATGAATATATTTGTTGTGAGCATTAAAATATAAGTCATTATTGCTTCATCAAAAGCATACTTATAGTTCTTAAATCAATTAAAATTTTCAAAAATTACTCTGAAAGTACAACACAGAATGTTAAAAAGTAAATATTGAATCCGGTTAGTTTAATATCTGTCATATTGTATAAAGCTTGGTGCGTTCATTTTAACATTTTCATACCAAGAACCAAATAAACAGAAATATGACTTCATCTTTAATATCTATCACGGCTCTGACACAGTATTAAATAGATTTTGTTCATACCAGGGTATATAACATGCTTATTTGTTTTTGTTAGGTGGTACGCCTTTGTGCCAAGAGTCGTGAAGCCATTGAGTCACCCGTCTCCTTCCTGTCCCTACACAACCAGATCAGGAACATCGAGAGGTAGGTGTTTTTCTGGTAAAACATGGCTTCCTACAGTGTGCAGATGAATAATAAATGTCTGATGACTCTACATAATATTTGAGATCAGTCTGACCTTACATAATATTTGAGATCAGTCTGACCTGTATATTGAATGATTCCTATCAATGTCAGTTAATGTATATTGTCTGAGTACTTAAAAGGGCAATCATTTGAGTAAAGGATATGGCTATAGATAGTTGGTCACACTCTGTTGAGCAAATAAATCAACAGCCATGTACAATCAAGTGATTGCAATTTGTAATTTTAGTCTTTTTTCAAGTTTGTGGAAGGTAAAGGGGATATAACTCCACACTCGATTACCATCAAGTGATTTCTAGCAGTCCTTATAATATTTATAACTAAGGAGTTGATAAAGGGAAATAACTCAATAGTACAATTAAGGAATTGCAGATTGTAAATTAGTCACAGTGCTTATCATAGGTTGTAAGTAGGCAAAGGGAAGTAACTCAACAGTCCCACACAACAAAGGAATGACTACAATATTACCGAATATCTCCATGTGAACCATAGCCTAAACATAAGTTCCACAATGGTTTATAACATAAACTAAATGCAAAATAGGAATATTACAGATTTAGAATAGACATTTACAAAACAATTTAAACCTGTACTATATTGTGACAAGAGGATTTTAATCTTGCAGGTGAAAGTGGTGCATGAGATTGTTAAAGTATCACAGGTAAACATAGTCTGTATTTGTGTGTTACAGTGTACCAGAGCTACAGAAGCTACAACAGCTTAAAGATGAAACTGGTGAACTGTCGTCTGCTGATGAGAAGAGGTACCGCTCCCTCAAGAAGCAGTGCGAGAAAGAATTACTTCAGGTAGGTAAAAGCTGTGAAATCGTATATAAATATGAAGCTAACAGACTGGAATGAGACTACATTTGTTTCTCATTACAATCATTGAAGAATGGTTATAACAACATTTCCTTCTGTTTAGTTCAGTTGCCAGTATGCAGTTGAGGGAGGGGTAAATTTTGATTCTGCTGTTTAATAAATCTCTAACAGTGGGGATGAACAAAATGTCATATGCTAAATAAGCACAATATTTTGATAAATTCCACATGTCAAGTAGCAACACATGTGCTGTTTTTGATTGAGAATGTTTGATTGTCACGATTTATGTATGTGTGATATTGTGTGTCGACAGCATGCGGACGTGATCTGTTGTACCTGTGTCGGAGCAGGGGACCCCAGACTTGGGAAGATGCAGTTCCGCTCCGTTCTTATTGACGAGAGCACCCAGGCCACAGAACCTGAGTGTATGATACCTGTGATCCTAGGCTGCAGACAGGTAAACTTGCTGGACTTGTACTGATCAATGGTTGTGTCATGTACAGGTCACTGAAAGGAAACTTTACAGTTTTCAACATCACAACATGAACAGGAGAAATAATTCAGCTTTATAGCAAATTTAAAAAAATGTAAAAAAAAAAAAAAAAAAAAAAAAGCTCCTTTCCTTCTAGACAGAACTTGTACTTATATTGGATATGAATATTTGTACTCCTTATTAAAATGGCCTGTAAACACTTACTGTCTTGTGTAACAACATTTTGGAGTATTAAGTTCTATGATATAGGTAAAAATAGTTGAAAAGTCCTGTTATCAGAGGTAATTTCAAATCTATGTTATGTTTAAGATATCTTATACTATATTCAGCACATTTTGATCAGAGGTTCAAATATCTATTCCACAGCTGATCCTGGTCGGGGACCACTGCCAGCTTGGCCCAGTGGTGATGTGTAAGAAGGCAGCCCGTGCTGGTCTGTCTCAGTCCCTGTTTGAGCGCTTGGTTGTCCTAGGCATCCGCCCTATCAGGCTCCAGGTCCAGTACAGAATGCACCCTGCTCTCAGCGCCTTCCCCTCAAACATCTTTTATGAAGGCTCCCTGCAGAATGGGGTTGCCCCAGGTAAGGCTCTCATTTTAGGATGTTCATGCATAGCTCTTTCATTAACAAGATTTCAGTAGTCATTAGACTTTATTAAGATAAGTAGCTTAAAGAATTTACAAGTTATTGTAAATATTATTTCCTTTGGATAAATTGCCTTCAGTATGTCATATGATGTTCAAACTCTTCGTGTTTGTTTTCTGTTGGTGGTTGATGAAAAGATATGTGGTTAACTTGAAGGTATCCCTATCTTTTGACAGCTGATCGTACAAGGAAGAATCTGGACATTCCTTGGCCTCAGGCAGACAAGCCCATGTTCTTTTACACGACGTCCGGCCAAGAGGAGATATCTAGCTCTGGCACTTCCTATCTCAACAGGTACTGTCCACCTCATCCATGTCACAGAAATCTGTCTAGTTACATCACTGCTCAGAGTGATTTTAAATGGTACCTACTAGAGGTAAAATTTCCTGTTATATACAATGTTATAATTCATAATTTAATTAATGTTTTTCTTTCATGGGATGGATGAGGAGTTATTTTGAAAGACAATTATTCAGACTTTTCAATTTGTAGTCAAACTGATCCTGTACAAGAGCTTTTGTGTGCAGTATTCATTTTCTGTTTTGATACATCAAAAACATAAAAATGTCACTATTAAAGCAAGAAACTGTAAAATATTGTACTTTCTGTAGCTGTTTTATTTCCCTCCAATAATTCAACACTTTATTCTGGAAGAGGTAAATCATATTTAAAAGAAATAAAAGGAAGAAAATAAGTTGATGTCTTAATTTAGAAAGACAGCCATTAGTATCAGTTTAATAATAGCCGACTGTTTCGATTTTAGAACTGAGGCAGTCAATGTAGAGAAGATTGCAACCCGTTTCCTGCGGTCAAGCATCAAGCCAGAGCAGATTGGAATCATCACGCCATACGAGGGACAGCGAGCATACATTGTGCAGTACATGCAGTACAGTGGATCTCTCAACAAGAAATTGTACCAGGTAAGGCATACTTGATTCTAAACATGCAGCTCAGTGCAGCTTATCAAGAAACTGTACCAGGTAAGGCATACTTGATTCTAAACATGAAGCTCATGCAGCTTATCAAGAAACTGTACCAGGTAAGGCATACTTGATTCTAAACATGCAGCTCAGTGCAGCTTATCAAGAAACTGTACCAGGTAAGTCATACATTGTCCATTACATGTAGTATAGTATATACTTATACAGGGGGATTCCTTTGGAAAATCTCTCCCATTAAACATCGCATAGACATCCTGTGTCAGAATTATAGATAACTTAGAATTCTAAAGGGCAACATGATGTCTGACTTGACCAATTCAGTAGACATCCTGTGTCAGAATTCAGTAGTACATGACCCAAATACATGTAATATCAACAAATGAGTGCTTTGCTATTTTGTATATATTCTGAAACTGGTTATCTGATGTAATTGTTATTTTCCTTTGCAGGAAATTGAGGTTGCGAGTGTGGATGCTTTCCAAGGGAGAGAGAAAGACTTCATCATTTTGTCATGTGTACGATCCAACGAACACCAGGGAATTGGATTTCTGAATGATCCACGTCGTCTGAATGTAGCTCTGACTCGAGCCAAGTGAGTACTTGATTGTTTGTCACATTAAATATCACTCTTTTAACAGACACTTGTTTAGAAACACTGATTCATGATACTGTTGATTTGATTGTGATAAAGAATCTCTGATGTGGGATTGAATTATGAGTCATGTATTTTTCTTATTTCTAGGTACGGAATCATCATAGTGGGTAACCCTAAAGTGCTGTCTAAGGTAGCTATCAATATTCTTACTTCTATATTTGAAAAGAAAAAACAATCAATTTTTAACATGTTACAATTTTGTGATTGACATAAATAATATCCTGGATTTTCACAGACGACAGGAATATTGTTCCATTGTCAGGTTGATAATTCCCGTATTTTTCTCGACTGGTACAGCCTGTGAAACCACCTGTTGCGCCAGTTTTGCGATATTGATTGATTCTGTTGCATAGCTATCCTTGTAGAACCACCTATTTTGCCAGGTTTTGAAGTTTTCTGTGTCCTTATTGAATAGCAACCCCTGTGGAACCACCTGTTGACATATTACAAGGAGCAGAAATGTCTGGTGGAAGGCCCTCTCAACAACCTCAAGGAGAGCCTCATACAGTTTAGCAAGCCACGCAAGCTGGTTAACTCCGCCAACCCTGTAAGTCACAGCTATAGTTCTTACTGGTGGTGTCTTTTGGTAACTTTTATCCTGATACAGATTTATCATTCTAAAACATTGTAATACATTGTTTAAATCAAACCTTCAATGTGGTATGACATTGTTTAAATCAAACATGAAAAGGTATGAAAAAATTGTATCACATTATTTAATCAAACATTAAAAGTTCATAAGTTGTAGAGAGGAAATTTAAATTTTGTCAGATTTATCACTGTGTATCACCCAAACAGTATTAAAATTTTGGAGATATATGAGGATTCTGTGAAATATTCACCAAGCAATCGTTGAAGTGCAAGTACAAGATAAGAGGAATGATTACGTTAATTTTTTGTTTCAGGGCGGTAGATTCATGAGTAACATCATGTTTGATGCGAGAGAAGTGCTCATCCCTGGTAGTGTGTATGACAGAAGTAAGTATGCTGTCCCATGCTACTGGAATTTACTGTTTAAAAGAAATAATTATGTGTCACAAAATTAATCTGTTGAATTTGAGACCATAGTGCTCTCAACAGAAGCCATAATAGGCTTAAGTTCAATACAGTTTATGGCTAAATGGCAAGGATTGTCAATTCTGCATTCACCACAAACTACAAGAATTTTAAAACAAAAACGGTAAATTGTTCTGTTTCTAGCCCAGGGATATCGTGAGCCTGCTGTGGTGCGTCACCATGACCAGCTGAGCTACATCGGACCAGAGCGTGCTTACACAGGCCCCGCCCTCAACCTGCCTGTGCCCGTGAACATGTTTATACCTCCGATGCCACAACCCTTCAACACCCAACAACCGGTCCACATGAGTAAGTCTTTGTCAGTAACAATAGTAGTTGACCATTTAATATTGGAGAAAATTGTTTAATGTTTATGATCTTTATGTCGAGTATTTGCTAATTGGTGATATAATTTTGGAAATAGCTATTATTAAAAGTCATTCTAAAGTGATGGCATCAAAGATAACTGAAGAATGTAGAGCTGTTTTGTGAAATTGTAAGTGCGGTAGGACTTGGTTATCAATGCCAGCTCCGAGAAGTTTTCTGGCATTGACATGTTTAAAATGAGGGAGGTTTACTGTTTATTTAGACAGTTGTATTACATCTGACTTATTTGGTGTGTGTTTTATATCTACTTCAGACAAGAATAATCCCCGACAGAACCAGCGTGGCTTCAACTACCGCCAGAAGCCTCCCAGATACAGCAACACACAGACCACCCAGGGCTCACAGATGAGTCAGAACGGGGGCAGCCAAAGCCAGGCCAGTCAGGTACATACACCACATCTCGTTTCATTATTTCACACTTTTCTTATCAAAAATGTAAACAGCTTTCTCACATTGGATTGTACACAAATGAAATTTACAGTTATTTTCTTTTTTTCTTTCAATAATTGGGAATGAATCAAGAATTTTTGATTGTTAAAATTGATACCAATGAGTTTCATCCGTAATTTTATACATTCTGTCAGAGTCTGGTGCAATATTGTTGATAAGCATACTACTGAAATATGAGTGATAAGTATGTGATTATGCAGGATAGGTTCAATAAGGAAATAAAGCTGGATTCACTAACTGTGTAATGATTTGTTAAATCACATTGCTCATCTTTGCTAATTTCAGGATGGCATATCCCAGCCATTTTCGCAGGGTCCTCTGACCCAAGGGCCCATGTCAATGAGCCAGTCGTTCCAGATGAGCCAGCCTGGCCTTTCAGGCTTGTCACAGCCAGAACTATCCCAGGTACGTGTACCACCTTGTTGTTGAAAGCTTATGCATGGTTAGCCTAATGTTGAATTGATTAATGTACTTCCTGTACAAAGTGAAGGAATCCTAAGTATAAATTCAATTCTTTTTGAAGGTCACTTTTATTTGTTTCTAAGTTTTCTGCAGTATCTTGTTTTACTATATCTGCATTTTTCTTGTCAATTGGACAGGGTTGGTATATATTCAACCTTATATAGGATTATACAACAGTTTAAAAACAAAATCAAAGAGCCCACTGTGTTAATGATTGCAGGACAGTTTCCTGGCGGATGACTTCAAGTCGCAGGCTGATGGCATGTTGTCCCAGGACTCAACATACCAGGGCGACCGCATGTTCTATGCCTCGCAGCTGTCACAAGGTCCTTTCAACTAGGACTGCCACACACGATATCAGCCTATGGCAGAAAGATGAAATGAAAACTAAGTGACCGATCACACAAGATCTTAGCTACCACAATGTCTCTGACAGTACGATGTGCACACAATGAGCAGTGTCTGCTAAAGTGGCCTGCCAGGTAAAACCACCACCAACCACGGGCGTCGGCTTCCCACGGCCACACCTGAGGGACACATCCCCTCCCAAGCGGCTGAGTGAGACAGCCACCGGGGTCCGGCACAGCCACCCGCTCACATGACCGATCATGTGGCTCTACAGCGGTAACGTGGCACGTTGGTGGAGATGAGAATGGGCAGAGATATGCCACCTGCTGGGTTAACCCGAGCAGACGACAGACACTGCTGGGCCATGCGATTTGATGCCATACAGGAGGGGTTCAGTGTATCTGAACCCATGTGTGGGTAGCACTACAAGATATAAATCAGAGATCCTAAGTAGCCCTGGTTTCATGCAAGAGTAGATTTGAGAAACTACACTAAAACAGAAAAAAATTGTGTTGGAGAAGAGTTTGGTAACACCTTTTGTCGAGGTTCTGAATGCAAGCTTATATCCTTATCTTTGTGTTTAATAATATAGCCTTCTCTTCAGTTTATAATATATGGTGATTTGATTTTTGTTGTTATTTTTTTTTTGGCAAAGAATTTAATTTCCATCTTTAATATGTAGAATATGTAGCCAGTGCCAGTCTTCGAGGAGTGTTTTGGTGGAATGTTCTAGATATCTGTGTCAACAATACAGCAGGATACTTACGATAGGTGGTTGTAAACGACGTTTGTTGAAGGTGAAGATGTTGATACCAAGAGATCAAAGGTGAATGTATTTGTAATTTATGAGCAGTGAACTTTTAAACAGAAGCTGCCTAGTCACGTCCAGTTCTGTGTGATTTATTTGTCTGATACTGTTTCAACCTCACATTTTAATATTTCCGTCGAGTGATTTCACTAAACATGTCGCACCTGTTGTGCATGTTTCTAAATGTTTGTGTTCTAAGAATGAAATAAAGAAATTCATTTTCACCTGCAAATTGCCAATATGAAATTGCCCATGTCTCCCCGAGATATGGTCAGAACAATGCCATGTGAATGAAGTTGTGGAAAATACTTCCTTGTGATATGTTTTAGGGTTACTTTTAACTTTGTTAAGTTCATTGTTTAATGAAACCTTCAGTCTTGGTTGTTCAATTCTTCAGTTCTGATTTTCATATATGAAAGCACTACGTAAAAGATGTAAACTTTCTAAATGCAGACAATCTTGTGGGATTTATCTTATATCTACAGATCGATTCAATAGCACTGATGGGGTAGACTTGTTAAATCTAAAAGAAACAAACGGTCAGATCTTTAATGAGGCGTATAATACATCACCACTTGGCCAAGAACTAAGTTTTGTCAGATTTCTGTCCCTTAGTTACTTTCTTAGTTACAGATTAACTCATAACAAGCAATAAATGTGAACTTTCTGTTCAGCTCAATGATGTAGCTTGAAATATCACCAACAGGAGATCAGTATACCCCAGAGTGGAAGATGTTGTAAAGAGACAGGATCATCTAATTCACAAGAAATAGTCAACATAAAATCTTAAAAGTTTTTTTAAACTTTTGATTATTAATATGCAAATGGATGGTGAGGATTGAGGTTTTTAAATCAACTAGCAATACATTTCATGTGTATACAGAAAACAATGTTGGCGTAAAGTCGGAGTAATTGAAATGGAGGAACTGATAATGCTATTCCTGGGAAGGTCATGTAAAGGACGTGTTCAGTATTTACATGCTAAATCCATGCTTATCTTCCGGTTTCTATGTATATTTTCACTGCAAATGTGATTCATCTTGTATGGTCACTTATGGGCATTAATAGCAAGCAAAATTAATTCATTTACACTGTTAGATTCACTGCTATGCAAAGTATATGTACCAATGCATGGATTATTTCACGATGTGTTTTGTGTTTATTTCTTTCATGGACCTAAAAACTTTGTACTTTCTTAATGGTACATTATGAAATTATGACTCGTTTTGATTATTTTAAAGGTTGATAGATTTGAGAATCTTCTTTTTGTTTGAAACAACGCCTGGTTCCTAGCCAGAAGACAGGTTTCGTAGATTAACTGGTGTTTAGAATGGCTATCAATGTAATTTTGCCAGCAATGAATACAGATTTTATTTTAATTACGAGAGTATTTTAGGGACTGTCTTTCCTGATGTGTGGGGACGCCTAAATCTAGAGTGCTTGGACTGCTTCCCTGTATCACAATGCTTCTTACCTCTTCCTATACCCTTTACTCCAATAAACTTCTGCTGATCCGAACATTTTGTTTTATTGTATGTGAACTACTGTACATGTAATATTTCGTCATCTCAAAATTTGCTTTTTGCAGCATTGAATTCACAATGTGTCTCTAATTTATGGAGCTTGCGTTATGTTATATAAGTCGTCATTCAACAACTTGTCAATACACATGTCTAACCTTGTGTCGCTTATCATACAATTGCCACAACTAGGCCAAAATCAAAGGTCTAAATGTTGTGTTGGTCGTCACACAACAACTTTGACAAAGTCATAGGTCTTAACGTTGTGTTGGTCATACAACAAAAAGGACAAAGTCATAGGTCTTAACATTGTATTGGTCGTCATACAACAACTAGGACAAAGTCATAGGTCTTAACGTTGTGTTAGTCGTCATACAACAACTAGGCCAAAATCAAAGGTCTACATGTTGTGTTAGTCATCATACTAGAACAAAGTCATAGGTCTTAACGTTAATTTGGTCGTCATACAACAACTAGGACAAAGTCATAGTTCTTAACGTTATTTTGGTCGTCATACATCAACTAGGACAAAACCATAGGTCTTAACGTTGTGTTAGTCGTCATACAACAACTAGGACAATGTTGGTCATCATACAACAACTAGGACAACGTCAAAGGTCGTAACGTTGTGTAAGTCGTCATACAACAAAAAGGACAAAGTCATAGGTCTTAACGTTGTGTAAGTCGTCATACAACAACTAGGCCAAAATCAAAGGTCTACATGTTGTGTTGGTCGTCATACAACAACTAGGACAAAATCAAAGGTCTACATGTTGTGTTGGTCATCATACAACAACTAGGACAACGTCATAGGTCTTAATGTTATGTTGGTTATTATACAACAACTAGGACAAAGTCATAGGTCTTAACGTTATTTTGGTCGTAATACAACAACTAGGACAAAGTCATAGGTCTTCACGTTATTTTGGGCGTCATACGACAACTAGGACAAAGTCATAGGTCTTCACGTTGTGTTATTCGTCATGCAACAACTAGGACAAAGTCATAGGTCTTAACGTTATGTTGGTCATTATACAACAACTTGGACAAAGTCATAGGTCTTAACGTTATTTTGGTCGTCATACATCAACTAGGACAAAACCATAGGTCTTAACGTTATGTTTGTCGTCATACATCAACTAGGACAAAGTCATAGGCCTTAACGTTATTTTGGTCGTCATACAGTCTGAACGTTTTTTTGGTCGTCATACAACAACTAGGACAAAGTCATAGGTCTTCACGTTGTGCTGGTCATACAACAACTAGGATAAAGTCATAGGTTTTAACGTTATGTTGGTCATCATACAACAACTAGGACAAAGTCATAGGTCTTAACGTTATTTTGGTCGTCATACATCAACTAGGACAAAACCATAGGTCTTAACGTTATGTTGGTCGTCATACATCAACTAGGACAAAGTCATAGGTCTTAACGTTATGTTGGTCATTATACAACAACTTGGACAAAGTCATAGGTCTTAACGTTATGTTGGTCATTATACAACAACTGGGACAAAGTCATAGGTCTTAACGTTATGTTGGTCGTCATACAACAACTAGGACAAAGTCAAAGGTCTTAACGTTATTTTGGTCGTCATACAACAACTAGGACAAAGTCAAAGGTCTTAACGTTATGTTGGTCGTCATACAACAACTAGGACAAAGTCATAGGTCTTAACGTTATTTTGGTCGTCATACAACAACTAGGACAAAGTCATAGGTCTTAACGTTATTTTGGTCGTCATACAACAACTAGGACAAAGTCATAGGTCTTAACGTTATTTTGGTCGTCATACAACAACTTGGACAAAGTCATAGGTCTTAACGTTATTTTGGTCATTATACAACAACTTGGACAAAGTCATAGGTCTTAACGTTATTTTGGTCATTATACAACAACTTGGACAAAGTCATAGGTCTTAACGTTATTTTGGTCATTATACAACAACTAGGACAAAGTCATAGGTCTTAACGTTATTTTGGTCGTCATACAACAACTAGGACAAAGTCATAGGTCTGAACGTTAGTTTGGTCGTCATACAACAACTAGGACAAAGCCATAGGTCTTAACGTTGTGCTGGTCATACTACAACTAGGACAAAGTCATAGGTCTTAATGTTATTTTGGTCGTCGTGCAACAACTTGGACAAAGTCATAGGTCTAAACGTTATTTTGGTCGTCATACAACTACTAGGACAAAGTCAAAGGTCTTAACGTTATTTTGGTCGTCATACAACAACTAGGACAAAATCCTAGGTCTTAACGTTATTTTGGTCGTCATACAACAACTAGGACAAAATCCTAGGTCTTAACGTTATTTTGGTCGTCATACAACAACTAGGACAAAATCCTAGGTCTTAACGTTATTTTGGTCGTCATACAACAACTAGGACAAAGTCATAGGTCTTAATGTTACTTTGGTCGTCGTGCAACAACTAGGCCAAAGTCATAGGTCTTAACGTCATGTTGGTCATTATACAACTAGGACAAAGTCATAGGTCTTAATGTTACTTTGGTCGTCGTGCAACAACTAGGACAAAGTCATAGGTTTAAACGTTATTTTGGTCGTCATACAACAACTAGGACAAAGTCATGGGTCTTAACGTTATTTTGGTCGTCATACAACAACTAGGACAAAGTCAAAGGTCTTAACGTTATTTTGGTCGTCATACAAAAACTAGGACAAAGTCATAGGTCTTCACGTTATTTTGGTCGTCATACAAAAACTAGGACAAAGTCATAGGTCTTCACGTTGTGCTGGTCATACAACAACTAGGACAAAGTCATAGGTTTTAACGTTATTTTTGTCGTCATACAACAACTAGGACAAAGTCATAGGTCTTAACGTTATGTTGGTCATTATACAACAACTTGGACAAAGTCATAGGCCTTAACGTTATTTTGGTCGTCATACAACAACTAGGACAAAGTCATAGGTCTTAACGTTATTTTGGTCGTCATACAACAACTAGGACAAAGTCATAGGTCTTCACGTTGTTTTATTCGTCATACAACAACTAGGACAAAGTCATAGGTCTGAACGTTATTTTGTCGTCATACAACAACTAGGACAAAGTCATAGGTCTTAACGCTATGTTGGTCATACAACAACTATGACAAAGGCATAGGTTTAACTCTGTTTTTTAACTCCACAAATAGACACAGCAAATGTAGGTCTAACTCTGTGTTGGTCATTCGGACCACTCCACGAAAAGACACGACAAATAGGTCTAACGGTGCGTTGGTTATTCACGATTTGTTCGAACTTTTGGTTTTTATAATCATTGTTTTGTTACAAAATTTGCTGTTTGTAACATTGACTTATACATTGTGTCAAATTCATTGGTCTTTTATTATGTTTATCATCCAACTAATCGGTACAAATTAGGTTTAACGTTGTGTTGGTGTATCTACATCTTTGAAATTCAAGGGTGCCGTTATACTCTAACCTCGTGGAATATATCATGACTGAATTGAAGGCATGACATTATATGTAATTTGCTGTTTGATTGGGTTTCAGTTGAAGAAACTGACCAATCGCTAGGCTGATAATTGTCACAAGAAGATGACAAAGTTTCTGTCACACCGCGGCCGGCCAACTTTACCGCTGTGCTGTTACGCTATTCTAGATTACCTATAATAAAGGTAAAGATTTGTTTTGGTCATGACATAAATTGGAACGGAGTAGAGAAGATATGGGTATCGGTAGGGCTGCAACGGTACGATACGTATCACGGTATGATGCTTACGATACGATACGTTTCACAATGCAAAATAATTGCTTGAAAGGTCAACTACATAATGATGGAGTGCAGGATTTCATCCTTTTTGCCTAAGACGTCAATAACAAATACTTTTGGGTATGACTGCAGTGGACCACATATTAACTGAAGGATTAAAAAATAAATTCACTTTTTAGAGTTCGATAAATATGGATTAAAATTTCATTATTTGTTAGTGTATCGCGATATAAACCAACAAAACAATTCGATAAGATACACAAGAAAGTATCGCGATACGATACGATATATCGTTGCAGCCCTAGTATTATGAGAGGAGATTCTCGGATTTCGAAGATGCATTTGAATGATACAAACAGATTTTTTTGTAGAGTAAAAAATTAAAGTGCTCTAATTTTTTCTCCTTTATCAAAAAAGATATAAAAAAACAGAATTTGTGTACAGAAGTACTTTAATCTCGTATTAACTGTTGCATGGTCGTTGTCCACACGAGAGGGGCTGTAGAAGTAACTCCGAATTCACGACCCCCAGGGGAGAGGTTTGTCGTGAAAACTTCATGTGTACAGTTCCCTTCCTCACGTGAACTGCGCAAAATTTGGCACGCAAACTAGACGGCAAGGTCCGTCATGGCCAGTCTCATATGTCGACAGCGTGTCCTCTTTGATTTTTGAAACATACGTTGAAAACTGTTATGGACGGAATCTGTCTGAAATCGAAAGTGTTCTCATCATTGACAATACATTGTCGCGTTTCTGCACGTATCTTGGAATGCGACAAAGTGGAGATGTTTGATCAATATCGATAAAAGTAGCGTATTTTTATGGAACGTTGAACAAAAGACTTTTATTTTATATCGTGCAGAAATTAATCGAGTTTATCGTTTTCGATTTTGTCCTCATCATTTTGATTTGCATGTGTGGCTTGAGATTTTTTATATTTCTGTAACCAGTGGTCGATATGTTTGAGACGGTATCGGTGTGTGCCCATCCCGCCTGCATACCGGACAACGCCCTCTTGTATGACATAGAGCCTCTTAGGGACGGCGGAGTAGAGAAGGGTAGCCTTGTTATCCATAGGGTCCACCGCTATAGGGCAGGGAAGAACATGGCTATCCAACAGAGACGCGGCCGTGACCCGTTCCTGCAGGTTCACATGTTGGCGAAGGTGCGAATACTGGTGGCCTGTGATGTTCCACTCGTCAAGGGGGTGTGCCTCTTGGATATAGATAATCAGAAAGTCGGCTACGTCATGGAACTCC